CTGATTATTTTTTGTTGAAAAAAAAAAAAAAAAAACAAGAATTGAGTTGTTTCAGCTCATTTGTAAATACGTAGTTTAAACAAACAGCATTCATTTTTTTGGAGTGTAGTTGTTAAGGTGGTTAATGAGGACGTGGCTTAAAAAACAAACTTTACAGGGTCTTTCGACTTTCAAAATTGGCCACAGGTTTCCTGTAAGGGTCGGTTTTGGGGGTAGATGTGGGGTAGGGCCATATAATAAGTAGTTTACATGAAATACATTACAGAGTCCTCATAAACCATGTATTTAAGTCTGCGTGTGCGTGTTCAGTCACATTAGAGTGTATTGTCAGCACCGTGACTGTTCACCTCTGATATATCACACAGCTTTGATGTCTCACAGGCACTTATACATGAATCCCCTGAGGCCTTACACACACACACACACACTTGTCTCTCTGCAGGGATTTGAGTGTCTGACAGACCCCTATGGCTCAGACTCGTCATCACACTTCTCCTGAAATGAAGTTGCCCTTTCAGAAATTCTTGCCGGCTCTGTAATCCTGACAGCTTCTCTCGTTCTCCTCTGAATGTTTTTGTTGTGTTGTAGGTTTGAAGGTCTTTGATCTTTGATGACCCTCCCCTTCTTTAACATCCTTTACCATTTATGCATCGCCACACACACACACACACACACACACACACACACACACACATTCATTTGAACTATAATGCTATAAAAGCTGTATTAAAAGTGTCATTGGTCACAGATAAAGTTTGGTAAGTCAGTTCTAAAACTGGTCCATTTCTGTGTAGGACTGAATTTGTGTAGGACAAATGTGACATGGAATTATTGCAGATTTTTTTCACTTTATCAGGTAAAGCTTACCAGTACCGGGAAGGACCCCCTTTTGCCTTTAGAACTTTCTTAATCTTTTGTGGATTCAACAAGGTACTGAAAATTTTCCTCAGAGATTTTGGTCCGCATTGACATAATAGAATCATGCAGTTGCTGCAGATTTGTCGGCTGCACATCCATGATGCGAATCTCCCGTTCCACCACATCCCAAAGGTGCTCTATTTGATTGAGATCTGGTGACTCTGGAGGACATTTGAGTACAGTGAACTCATTGTCATGTTCAAGAAACCAGTCTGAGATGATTCACGCTTTATAAAATGGCGCGTTATCCTGCTGGAAGCAGCCATCAGAAGATGGAGACACTGCGGTCATAAACCACTACCACCCTGAACTGTTGATCTGTTGATACAAGGCAGGAGGGATCCATGCTTTCATGTTGTTGACGTCTAATTCTGACCATTGTCGCAGGAGATGTCGAGAATCATCAGACCAGGCAAACGTTTTTCCAATCTTCTATTGTCCAATTTTGCTGAGCCTGTGCGAATTGTAACCTCAGTTTCCTGTTCTTAGCTTACAGGAGGTGCACCCGGTATTATCTTCTGCTGCTGTAGCCCATCTGACTCAAAGTTGTATACATTCAGAGATGCTCGATCTTCTGCAGACCTCGGTTGTAACGAGTGGTTATTTGAGTTACTGTTGCCTTTCTATCTGCCGGAACCAGTCAGGCCATTCTCCTCTGACCTCTGGCATCAACAAGGCGTTTGCGCCCACAGAACTGCTGCTCACTGGATATTTTCTTTTTTTCGGACCATTCTCTATAAACCCTAGAGATAATTGTTCGTAAAGATCCCAGTAGATCAGCAGTTTCTGAAATACTCAGACCAGCCCGTCTGTCACCAACAACCACTTGAATCACCTTTGTTCCCTATTCTGATGCCTGGTTTGAACAGTTTGAACTGTGTCTTGACATTGTCCACATGCCTAAATGCATTGAGTTGCTGCCATGTGATTGGCTGATTAGAAGCAGTTAGACAGGTGTATCTAATAATGTGGCCACTGAGTGTACAGTATACTGTATATATATATTTTTATATTATATAGAAATGTCTTTTCTTGTTTTATTTTGTTTGGCTGGAAAAGAAACCGTTTTTGCATTTTCTTAAAAAAAAAAAAAAAGTAAATTTTTTGCCTTTTTTTTTTTTACCCTTAAGATTCTTTTTTCAGTTGGCTTCAGAATAAACTACTTTTGTCCAATGGCTTGACTAATTAACCTAACTAGCCCTAATTATCTTAGTTAAGCCTTTAAATTTCACTTTAAATACTAGTAACTAGCAAAAAAAAAAAACAGTAAATATTATGGGCGTTCATCATGGCAAAAACAAAAGAAATTTGTCACTGGAAATTAGTTATCAAACCATTTATGTTTCTCTGTTTAACAGCACTTGGGAAATATTTAAAAAAGAATTTAAATTTCACAAGAGGGCTAAGAGTTCTGCTGATAAATACATTGCAAAAAATCTAAATATTTATGAATTACTTAGTAAGGAATATTGAAATGTATTTTAAAATGAGCTTACATTTGTGAACTCACACTTCAATTTAAAGATAAATAACTGTATTATAAGCGTAATTTGTTATAAATCATATCTTATAAACAGGATTGTGAGATGCTGTCTGGAGAGAAGTCGGCGTGGACATCCATAAAAGACTCCATTCATCACCTGGAGCAGCTTCAGTCGGAGCAGCGTATCCTTCACAGCCAAAACAAAGCATGTTTTAGTGTCTGACACTTGCTAGTCAATTCACTATTGAATCTCAGGGTTTAGGAGGATTAAGTGAACCAGCCAGCAGCGCTTTTTCTCTGGAAACAACTACTCTGGAAACAACTGTACTAGACGAACTATGCCCGATACTGTAGTCATATAAATTTCAAAGACACTGAAGTGAAAGGTGTGAGGGTTAAGATGTCACTTCTGTCCAGATCGCTCTGTTTTAGCCTTTGGACACTTGTCTGATGTACTGTATTGAAGAAAATACAGGCTGTCTGCAGCTGAAATAACAAGCATTGCATTTTGTATTCTGTGCACTGGGAAATCTACTAGGCTTTGTAACAATTCTGTTAGAGTTTACTCACCATTTGTTGACATTTAACACTCATCAGACTTCTGTTCATCACAAATGAAGATATTTTTAAACTGTCTCTCTAATTGAAAGTGTATTCACTCAAAGCTTTGGCTGTTTTATCCTGGTATTATTGTTTTGTTTCGTTTTTTTCAGTAAACCAATCGCAGGTAATCAGCAGTGCCATTTGGGTGGATAAAGAAATCAAGCATTGAGCTAAAATATAGATTACCTGATAAAATGAGCATTAGCCTAATTTAAATGGCTCACTTCATGAACAACTGACAGTAATGGCCTAAATGTGATTTTAATTTTCAGTAATATAATTATACTTATATATATATTTGGCACTCAAGCTGAGATGAGCTCCCATTTTTATGTAAATAATTTTGAATCAGTTTGTAAATTCAGTGAATTGTTTAATGGAGAATCGCTCTGAATGGATAATCTGAATCCGTGAGCTGTTAATTGTAGACTTACTTTGAACCGATCATTTGAATCAGTGAGCTGTTAATTGGACACTCGCTCTGGACATATTTTTTTGAATCAGTGAGTTGTCAACTGGAGACTTGTTCTGATCGGATCTTCTCAATCAATGAATTGTTAACTGGAGACTTGTGTTATTGAATCATCTAAATTAGTGAGTTGTTAACTTGAGACTTGTTTAGAATTCATGATTTGAATCAGTGATATGTTAACTGGACACTTGTTCTGAATGAATCATCTGAATCAATGAGTTGTCAACCGGACCCTTGTTCTGAGTTCATGATTTGAATCAGTGAGTTGTTAACTGGAGACTTGTTCTGAACGAACATCTGAATCAGTAAGTTGTCAACTGGAGACTTGTTGTTATTGAATCATCTAAATCAGTCAGTTGTAAACTGAACACTTGTTCTGAACGAATCATCTAAATCAGTGAGTTGTCAACTGAACACTTGTTCTGAACGAATCATCTAAATCAGTGAGTTGTTAACTGGACACTTGTTCTGAATTCATGACTTGTCAGTGAGTTGTTAACTGGACACTTGTTCTGAACGAATTATCTGAATCAGTGAGTTGTCAACTGGACACTTGTTGTTATTGAATCATCTAAATCAGTCAGTTGTAAACCGAACACTTGTTCTGAACGAATCATCTAAATCAGTGAGTTGTCAACTGAACACTTGTTCTGAACGAATAATCTGAATCAGTGAGTTGCCAACTGGACACTTGTTCTGAATTCATGACTTGTCAGTGAGTTGTTAACTGGACACTTGTTCTGAACGAATTATCTGAATCAGTGAGTTGTCAACTGGACACTTGTTCTGAATTCATGAATTGAATCAGTCAGTTATCAACTGGAGACCTCTTCTGAATTCATGAATTGAATCAGTGAGTTGTCAACTAGACACTTGTTCTTAATTTATGAATTAAATCAGTGAGTTGTCAACTGGACACTTGTTCTGAATTCCTGAATTGAATCAGTGAGCTGTCAACTGGAGACTTGTTCTGAATTTATGAATTTAATTAGTGAGTTGTTAACTGGACACTTGTTCTGAATGAATCATTTGAATCAATGAGTTGTCAACTGGAGACTTGTTTAGAACAGATAATTTTAATCAGTTAGCTGTAAACTGGACTCTTGCTCTGAATGGATCATTTAATGCAGTGAGTTGCTGAATGGAAGCCTGATCTGGATTGATCCATTGAATCAGTGAGTTGACTTAAGAGCACATGCAATCAGATTTGTCAGTTCTCTAATGAATTGTTTAGTTTGATTTGCAAGCTGAACTCATCAAAATTCAGCTCACGTCTCCACTACATGGCTGAAATAAACTTTCATGTAACAGTTACAAACAGTTACAGAGATTCTCTCATAAAGATAATTTTTTTATTTTTTTTTTTAAAGATGAACACATTTCTGATTTTCTGTTTGGAATAACATATCTTTTTCATTATGGGGTGAACTAACCATGTAAACCAGCAAAGCTTCGTTGGCTGTTGTATTGTTATAATGAATTTCATCTTCATTTTAGTCATGTCCTTAACTTTTTAATCAAAAGACTGGGATGAGCTGTTGAAGGAGAGCCAGGCCCTTCTGCACAGACATTCAGATGTCGTACCAGACAGGAACATCTACATGCTCCGACTGCTGGATTTGGCCATGGATGCCTGCATTAGTCTGGATGACTATGAAACTGCTCTGGAATACGGCAACAGGGCTCTGGGTCCTTACAAGTGAGTGTGTGCATCTAAAACTTCTGTTCTGGCAGATTTTCTGCTAAATCTTAGTGGGATACACCTCCATCTCTCATTCAAATCTATAAAAGTCCCTTTATAACTGTGACTCACATAGACTCACTCACTTCTGAAGACCAAAAAGAAACAAGTGCAGCTCTAGTTCGCAGGAACTATTGCTATAAATGTATTGAAAAATTATCCTCTATTATAACATCTGTATATCTTAAAATGTATCTTATGTGTTGCATGTACAAATATCCCAAAAAGTGACATTACATAAATGAATTTAACAGCTTTTATTTCAATCAAACTAAAAGAAATAAGGAACAAAAATAAGGGAATAATTAGGAAATACTTCCTTGATCTGTTAAACATAATTTGGGAGAGTGTACTAATTTACATGGTTTTTCAAACAAGTATTACTTTTGGTGGTAAGAGACATACAGCTCTATTTTAACTAAATAGGTGCAAAGTCATGATGAAAAAGCATTAAAGGCATGTCCAAATTCACTTTTGCTATTTTAAGGATGCTATTTTAAGCCTCGGCACATGGTCTAACAGGGTTGTGCTTATTCTCTTAATGAGTTATAGGTGGGTTTTGAGCATAACATGCATTAAATCAATCAGAGTCTCATCTCCCATTCCCTTTAAGAGTCAGTTGTGTCGTGCCATGGCACATTTGATATTTAATGCTTCATTAGCGAGAAAACGGTTAAACAGACCATGTGCAGCACGATGATAAAGAATGAGCTTCCTCCATTCGGCCAAGTACATCAGTACTTTTGCTCTTTACTTTACTCTTTATTTTCATGGATAACACTTGCTAATACTGCCAATAATAATATTATACAAATGCAAATTGTCATGAATAAACTGAACCACCTCCCTCTGCCACAGCTTTAGACCAGCTTTTAGTTGGTCAATGGGGCAGTCTATTTCAGTTCCTCAAAATAGGAACGTGGCAACAATGCGCCTTAACACGCCTGCTTTATAGACCAGCACACTCATGAGTCCACAAAGTGGTGCAAATGGATTTGCTGTTTAAACAACATTGCACAAAACATGAAAATTACAGTTGCGCTGGTCTGAAAATAGCAATAAATTGCGTCTTGAGCCTTATTGCGCTGAGTGTATGATAGGGCCCGTAATAGTTAAAACTTTATTTAAAGAGCCCCTTAAACTTTATTTAAAGAGCTTCCATTCAGTGTGTAACACAACACTAAGTGAATAAAAACATCCAGCTGAGGTTCAAATCTGAAAGTGCCCCTTGTTTAAAACTATTGATTCTTTAACAAAAGAGTCGACTCAGAATCAAATAAATGTATTGAGTTGGGTTCGGATCTTTTTCATTGATCGCATCTACATCGACAGGGTACATCACAAAATATGTAGTTCCAGTTCTGGTAAAGTGTGAACGCGCTTTCCCTCCACACACAAAGCGGAGGCGCGGGGGATCACGGACTGATCATGACGCGAAGATGACGATCACTGACAGATGGAGATTCAGCTGAGGGGAATAAAGGGATATAGTTAATTTTCACAACAACACTATAGCCAGCCTAGTGCTGTTTTTTTTGTTCCTGTCATTTTTCTGATGATTGATACAATAGCCTATTCTGCAGCGCAGGATTCACCTGTCGTTTGCTATTGAAGGAGCAGCAGAGACTATTATGTATGAGACTTTGTCAGTAACTTTTACAGTTCAAATGGACCAGTTTCTTCTTCCTCCGGATCATAACATGTAGGTGTGTTTAAAATTGTTGCCTCGTTTTGTATAGTTTGCAAAATGTGTGTTTAATTGTGTGTTATAAGTTGTAATCGCCTCGCGCGGCATGTAGTCACGTATCTATTATAGAGAGAGATGTATAGTAACAAAGTAGAACTCACTACTGTACTTAAGTACTAAAAGGCAGTATCTGTACTTTACTGGAGTATTGTTTTTTTCTTCTACTTCCACTTTTACTTAAGTACCTATTTTCGATGAGTTTAATACTTTTACTTCAATAGATTTTTATGTGCTGCATCGTTACTCATTAATAGCAGTGTCAAAATGATCTATATTTGTTATATTTGTATATTAGGGTACATTTTTGTACTTAAATCTTGCAAGTAGTTTATTTCAAAATTTACTACTCAAGTACTGAAAGTAAAAGTACAAGTATTGTGTAATGTAGTTATTAAAGAAAGCAGTCAAAAGACATCATATTGTTTTGTTTATTTTAAATATGCAGTCAAACACCAGTATATTAGGCTACTTTTAACCCTAATCCCAAGTAATTACGACGCACATTCTGAAATAATCCACACAGTGGCAAAAGTTGAACTATTTTGAAAATTGACCGCGCCGTGTGTTTGAGGAACAGCTGATAGAGGCCATAGAAACAAACAGCATAGAATCGCCAGTTCAGAAACGCTTTTAAGACTGTAAAGAAAGAAGCATGCATCATGTTTTTAACGTGGTTTTGGACGCGATATGTGAACTGTCCCATACAGATTTAACCTGAGAGATACAGTACAAGCACTGATCTATAATCTGAGATGTATAAAGTATCATGCTCTCATGTTGTTGATGCCAAATTCTGACCCTACCATCTGAATGTCGCAGCAGAGTCCAAGACTCATCAGACCAGGCAACATTTTTCTAAACTTCTATTGTCCAATTTTGGTGAGCCCAGTGTGGTCTTCTGCTACTGTAGCCCATCCGCCTCAAGGTTGGACGTGTTGTGCGTTCAGAGATGCTCTTTTGCATACCCCGGTAACGAGTTATTATTTGAGTTACTGTTGCCTTTCTATCAGCTGGAACCAGTCTGGCCATTCTCCTCTGACCTCTGGCATCAACAAAGAATTAACGCCCACAGAACTGCCGCTTACTGAATATTTTCTCTTTTTTAAGACCATCCTCTGTAAACTCTTGGGATGGTTGTGCATGAGAATCCTAGTAGATAAGCAGTTTCTGAAATACTTAGACTAGCCCGTCTGGCACCAACAACCATGCCACGTTCAAATTCACTTAAATCACCTTTCTTCCCCATTCTGATGCTCTGTTTGACCTGCAGCAGATCGTCTTGTCCATGTCTACATGCCTAAATGCATTGAGTTGCTGCTATATGTCATCGGTTAATCAGAAATTTGCGTTAACTAGCAGTTGGACTGTTGTACCTAATAAAGTGGCCGGTTAGTGTACATTGCAACCACACTACATTACATTGCATGCAAACACACTTATGTATTAGATGCTATAGGAAAATATATAATTTGGTCATCATGATTATACACTCTTCGAGTAGCCATATGTACTATGTTGCCTTAACAAACACCAGAGGCCTTTTTCCGTAACCTTTTTCCAAAAAAGCTTGTTCAGCTGTGTTTTAAATGGGACAAATGGATCAATTTGGGAAAGGGCAGACCTCAGGTGACATGCACCGCAGGACAGTATTCATCACCAGCTACCACTGAATCAATGTGCATTTTAGTTTGTGCATCGTAGCCACTTTACGACTTCCCGTGAGACGTGTCAAACAGAAAACCCGAACAAACCAGTGGACGCTACTCTTAAAAATCAGCCATTTGTGCACACATTCATGAAAGTAAAATAGAAGATCTTCTGGAGGAGGTTTGTGACTCGTCTACTGTGGTTTTTCATTTGTGGTTGTAGTAAAAAGCTGTTTGGAAAGGTCTCTTTCCCATAGTGCTCAGAATAATACATACCTCCAGGCTAAACGCAAGGAGATTATTGACTTCAAGCTCCTGCAGATGTCAATTTGTAGCGGCGGTAGACCTCCGGTGATTTCCAGTAAATCCAAAAGAAACAGTAAAAAAACAGATGGATCAGAGCTTCGGAGGAATTGGACCTTGGAAAAAAAGAAGAAGTGAAATTACCCAACAGCTTTCCCCCATGTTGCATAGGGGAAATATGAATCTGGTTGTTATTCTTCTACAGCGCTAGATCCTGTCTTCCCATGTCAGCTCGTACAAAGCATGAATAAGTTTTTATATTGCCTGTTGGATTGCTGTTCTCGGGCTTTATACTGCGTCTGATGAATGTTTATGGGGCTGAGGGAGGGTTGCCAGTGCAAAGAAAAGGGAAAAATGCTGCTAAAATGGCTCTTTAAACACTGAATTGACATTGAGATTGATGGTTTCCAGCGTCACCTCACTTTCTGCTGTTGGTGCAGCAAGATAAATGCACATTATAAAGAAAGACAAATACTGCACACAAGAATATTTCAACTGTTTGGTCATTTTTAGTACACATCTTTCATGCATGGATCATTTCTACCTACAAAATGATTTATTCTCTTCAGAAAAGAAGTTTAAATACAAAATTTACAATGTCTATTTGGCTAGTGCACATTGGTTTTCTCTAAGTTAATGTTAGGTTAGAGTTAGGTTTACATACTGAAATACTGGAATAATATTATAATAAAATTTCCAAATAGGTTGTTGCTAATGATTTAAATCACTCAAACCCTCCAGAACTAAAGATATATTTAGCGTAGATACTCTTATGTTGAAAGAACTTAGCTCTATACTAATTACTCCAATAATCAAACTCCTCAATCTTTCCATTTCTGAAGCAATATTTCTGTGTGTATGGAAGTCATCAGCTGTCATTCCAATCTATAAAAACGGGGATCCTCTGTCACTTACCAATTACAGGCTAATCAGTATTATTACCACTATGTCTAAAGTTGCAGAGAAACTCATTGCCAAACAGTTAATTAAATATCTGAACACCAATTCTTTTTCTCTTCATCCAATGCCATTTGGTTTCAGAGCTCAACACTCCACAGAGACTGCGAACAGTTTTTTCATAGAATATATTAAAAAAAGCTGAAAAAAGCTTTAGAAAATGTATATCATGAAATATTATTGACCAAACTATCTAAATGTAACATTTCACCAGATTCATTGAATTGGATTGAATCATATCTATCAAATCGATCACAAACAGTCAGAGTTAATGATTATCACTCTCCCCTCTCTGTCCACGGGTG